CGCTGTTCACAAACTATTCAACATTAAGTGGTCATCTATAGTTGCTTCCTATAACAGGTATAAGTTTGCTGTGGCTTGAATAAAGAGTAAATAATGCCTCACTCTCACACTAGCACTTCAGCCTCTCTCTGTACAGAGGATGTACTCTAGCATCAGATCGCCTGCAGCCACAGGATAAGCTGCTGTCCCGTGTTCCCCCTCTGCTTCCAAGAAGGCTTACCACCATGAATCATCTCCATTCAATGTCACAGATGTGTCTCTACTGCCACTGAAAGGAACCATACACTGAAATGCTATATACTTAAACACAAGCTTCATTTATGTTCATATTGTTCGTTAATTTTGCCATTTGAGGCTTAAAGGTCATTTTATTATGTCTTTTGACAGAATCTACAACACAACTGATAAATGTAACCATGACTATGCACTGTGCTTTACTGCCTCCTAGTGATTATAACAATGTGTTAATGCAGAAAAAGGAGCCTCAAATCATCACATATCATTCATTGTTTTTGTTTATCTATGTGAAAAACTCCAGAGTGCAAAAAAGTCAATTATAAATTCACTGGAAACAAAATGTTTGCAAACAAAAGACCAGTTTAGTCCAGTTTGGTCGAGTTTAGTTATATTTAGCTATAAATCAGACTTCCCAGAGCTGGGCAAATAAGTGTAATATGAGTCTATGTCAGTCTAGTTCAGTAATAATAACCCCAGACTGGGTGAACAATGCAACACAAATCTCTTTCGGAGCCGTTTTAAAAACCATTTCATTTCTGACCAAACTTGTGAGTCATCCACGTACACATTCAAATAACACTGCAGCGGTTTAATTAAACATTTATGAAGTGATTATCTGCTGTGCCTGTGGTTCAGCAGCATTTGGCTGCAGCCCCCGTGGCCTGGACTAATCCTCAGTATTTTGTGCGGAGAGATAACAAGAGGGAGACTGAGAAGAAGAGAAGGAGGAAAATGGGTTGCGGATTTTCCTCGCAAACAAAACAAGACAGAGTGAAAAGCTGTGATCCGTCCATCTGCTTCTCCCTCAATATATTCCTAAATCTCTGCCTCTATCTCCCATTCACACCTTTCTTTACCCATCCCTCCCACCTTCTGTCTCCTCTTCATCTCTCTCTTCCTCACTAATGAGAGCCGGTGGGGTTTCCTGGTCCTAACAACCAGCCTGTTTGTCTCTGCCCAGACACCAAGGGCGCCACAGATTACTGCTCCCCCGTCGCCTAGACAGAGAGAATCTAAAACTCACAGCATATTCTTTATAGTGTTTGCAGTTTGCAATGCACTGAGAATATCACATGATGAAATGTGCATTCAGCTGGAACCGAAGCAGGGCATGGACCCCTCCCTGGAGTCTGATCCAGCCCCTAAATAATACCTTCTCGTTCCAGAGGCAGAAGATGGTTGGTTTGTTAATAACAGGGATGAACAGGCCTACTGGGTGCAAGGCCTACTGGGTGCAGGGCCTACTGGGTGCAGGGCCTATTGGGTGCAGGGCCTACTGGGTGCAAGGCCTACTGGGTGCAGGGCCTACTGGGTGCAAGGCCTACTGGGTGCAGGGCCTACTGGGTGCAAGGCCTACTGGGTGCAGGGCCTACTGGGTGCAGGGCCTACTGGGTGCAAGGCCTACTGGGTGCAGGGCCTACTGGGTGCAAGGCCTACTGGGTGCAGGGCCTACTGGGTGCAGGGCCTACTGGGTGCAGGGCCTACTGGGTGCAGGGCCTACTGGGTGCAGGGCCTACTGGGTGCAGGGCCTACTGCGTGCAAGGCCTACTGGGTGCAGGGCCTACTGGGTGCAGGGCCTACTGGGTGCAGGGCCTACTGGGTGCAGGGCCTACTGGGTGCAGGGCCTACTGGGTGCAAGGCCTACTGGGTGCAGGGCCTACTGGGTGCAAGGCCTACTGGGTGCAGGGCCTACTGGGTGCAAGGCCTACTGGGTGCAGGGCCTACTGGGTGCAGGATAACTAAGATGTTTAAGAGTCACAACATATTCATGAGATGTAAAACAACCACAAGAGATTCAGTTTGATCACAGAGATGCAAAACAATGCAATTCACTCGGAGTTGAAAGTACGTCGTCCACACGGCAGCGTGCGTTGAAGCTTGCCGGTGGGCGTGTCTGGCGTGCGACCAACAACGAATCACATTAATCTCCCGCCCTGGATACACAAGCACGCGGTTTGATTGGCTAGAGCTTGTACTGGCATATGATTTGATTGGCTGGCACTTCCGTCGACGCTTGAAAAGTTGAACTTTTCTCAACTTTCGAAGCGAGCAACGGAGGCAATGCGAAGCGACGGAACTACAATGCAGTTCGGCAAAGCCTGACGTCACCCCATTCAAAATGGGAAGCTGTGTTGAAGCTTCAACGCACGCTGCTGTGTGGACGGACCGTAAATGTTTTGTAATAATAGGGTAAAACTTCCCATGTTCAATTGTAAATAATTAAAGATTATGTCATGAAAGAAACCTTTGAAAGAGCCAAGCTGTAAAATGGTTATCAAATGTACTTCAGTTTTGTTTTGCGGTGTGCACAGGGCCGTCCCTCCCTAGGAAGATCACGCAGACTGCGTGGGGCCTTACCTCGCGGAGGGGGCCTCATCTTGCGGAGGGGGCCTCATCTTGCGGAGGGGGCCTCATCTTGCGGAGGGGGCCTCATCTTGCGGAGGGAGCCTCAACTGAGCCGCAAATGCGGCGCACCTATCTTCACCACTGCGAGGCTCCACTAGCACCCCCCGTCGACGACGCTCGCGAAACAGAGGGCCTCATCATCTAACTTTGCGTGGGGCCTCAAATTGGCCAGGGACAGCCCTGGGTGTGCACAATGCTAAATGAAACTACCTGTCGTACATACTGGTGCTATGTAAAACCATGAATGTGAAGTCAATTGAAACAAGAGAGAAGAAACAGACCCATGAGATTTGAGTCTATGAAATGACTGTTTAAACTTTTCTTGTTTGAAAGTCAATCAACTGCAGGCACATAAACTACAAAAATACTCAGCCTTACAACCACATCCCCACCCATAATTAAAGTTGCAAAACCACCCCTGAGCAGGAATCCAGAGGCGCATCAGAATATTAATACTGTGCCTTTCACAGTCATGTAGAGTAATTAGTGCATGGAGATAAAAATGTTCCTCATAGTTTCTGTTATCGCTTGATCATTAGTCAGACTTTTTAGCCATTATGTTTTAAACAAAAGCCATTGTTAGTAATGGTTGCATCAGGTAAAGCGTCATCTTTCTTATCCGTCTGTCCATTGCAGGGGAAGTGGTGATCTTTTATAAGGAAGAAAACATTTAGGAGGGAATGACCTTCCTCTAATTGAGAGCATCAATCTTTACACTATTATTACAATCTGCCACTGCTATGAGACATCATTTCTCCAACAGTCTGGGCTGCTAGCATTGTTACTAAAGCCTCAATATGGCTGTGAAGTAGGATGTAAAATGCATGAGAAAATGTTAAGTGCTTCAAGTGACCAAAGTATGTTACAGATAACTCCCAGTTTCCATAGAGCTTTACTGATCCACATCTCACTGTATTGGTATAAAGTCAGAGAATGTAACCTGTGATTTTTATATATTTTCTTGCAATCACATCACAAACAACCCATAATCTGGCAAATTACTCACCAGGAGTCTTCTCAATTGTACATTAGTCGCATCAACATAAATGCATTTTTGAACATTCAGTAAAGATGTTGAATGGTAAGACCGCCATCTAGTGGCTTTTACTCAAACCACCAACAAATACAGAAACGCAAACGTGCCCATGTAACACAAACAGAGTGGTACTTAATGTGGAAAAAATGGGGCAACTTTGGACAGATGCAACACCAACAAAACACCATTTTTGGTTGAAAAACATCAACGTTTAACAAAAGGGATATCCAGACTGAGCACTTACCTCAACTTGTTAAATTGCTTCGGTGCGGTGTCAGTTTTGTTAACGTCATGTTCGTCCAAATGTTATCTTGATGTCCTCTTGTTCCATATTTGTTTATCCTCAGAATAATGCCTGATATCCTAAAAGCTTGTTTTTGACCACTAACCATAAAACACGAAGCTAACAGAGGCCTCTCTGACAAGCTAGCCGCCGTTAACGTTAGACACTTTTCATGACAGACAAACCCCTAAATCTCATTGAAGTTTGGTTAAAACAACATTCCTTAGATATTTGACTTACATTTGATCTAAATTTCGATGTCAGCTGTAGAAGATAATCCACATCGGTCATGGCGGGGCCAACCGTTACCAACAGCCAATCAGCTCTGAGCATGGTTATTGTTGTTTTCCCACACTCTGGAAGCACTTGACACTGACAGCGTGAAAATTGATTAAAACCCCCATTTTAAAACTATTATCAGCCACTTACCTCACATTTTATTATAATGATTTATTTAATATTATGCAATAAAACTGAAATATCAAAAACAAATACTGTTAAACAATGTAGATGTGTTGGCTGGAAGGTGCCGAATAGAGTAGAAATGTGTGTACTATTAGGTACATTTCACATCACTTTATAGCTAGTTGTTACAAATTAAAACGACTTTGGATTCCTGCAAGCCAATAGGATATTAGCTTGATCTTAGAGAAAACATGGATATACCTACTATACATGTATTGTTGAAGGAGATGTATTGTATGTATCGGATAGACTGATTTACAAAGGAAGGCTGGATTATTTGCTCACAAAAAGTGATTCATTGTCCGAATTGTTGGAAGTCATTTAAAAATTACTTTGCATTTCTGAGTGTTTCTTTGTTTTTGTGTTCTTTACTTAGTTTTATTTCTTTGTCGAATATGTGAAATATGTGAAGCGAATGTTTAAATAATGTGTATCCAATGTGTCCTTTATCACAGTGAGTGATATCCAGTGACTAAAATAAACTGGGTTAGATAATTACCCAATTTGTCCAATATACTGAGAGATGAATATTAAAAATATCCCCATTTAGTGCACGAACATACTGAATCAGAGTTGATGGAGTTATCCTACATTTATTGCCAACCAAAATAACAAGTTACATGAATATACACACAGACAGTTGCGCAACAGTAAGCAGCTTTTTGGATTAGAGCTCATCTCAACACAGAGATGAGAAATAGAAGTTTACCCAAAAGTTTTGACTTTTTGAATCATACAATTTCTTTATAATTGTGATATAAACCCGACGATAATAATAAATGGATTTGTTTGAGTAATAACACAGCATTAACTTAGCATAACAATGTCCATATGAACATTTATCAGTTTGTCATTTAAATTGGGGACACACTAATAAGTTCAATGAGTGATTTAATGACTCTCTGTAACAATGTCAACACTGAACAGTTAGCTTACAACAGATCAAAGAAAGACAACAAGAGTGCAGCAATATGACAATCAGGTATTACTGAAAGGGGGGGGGGGGGGGGGGGAGTACACTTAAGAAGAAGCTTAAAAGTCATCAACATTTGAGACGAACATTTATTTCATGTTTTAACAGTTTGGGGGCTTAACTCTCTGCCCACAGCTGCATCACACATCTGGGTTGAGTAACACAGGTTTCAATAAATAGTGTAGCTAAGATTGTGCATAAGACGTTAAATGTGCTTGGCAAGAGACAAAGACGTGGCCATGTTGTATACCTCTAGGGACAAAAGATTACATCTTCCTCAAATCTATGCAAAAGACTATTCCTGTTAGTACTGTAAACTGAAGTTAACTAACTTGTTCACAACAAATCATATGTTGCTTCTCCAATTGTAAGAGATGTAAGCAAAGGAGTGGTACATTTGCTCTAGTTTAAACAGGACAAGGATAGTTTTACCTTCAGATGCTTTTACTTTTCAATTACAATGTATTTGACACAGTCGATGCATAAGAAAGGCAGAACCAGTCAAGTGTCTTAATCTGTCAAAAATAATCTACCTTGATCATTTGTTTAATGCACACAAAGCAGAGTTAATCAGTGCCTCTGTCTCTGGCCAATGAGAGGTATGAGAATATTCCAGTTCTAACAGTCACATGTTTTCCTTCAGACAGAGTAAGTCGGAAATCTAAGGAATGGTTTCTAATGGTTTCTGGAGCTTAGCACTGATGGTCTCTTTTCCAAACTGTTCTCTTGCAGTAAAACCGACAAAAGTGACATGATAACATAAGTTGTGAGGGTGTGAAGACAGACTCTCTGTCCTCAGTGAAACCTGCATCTGAATGCGTCTGTGAACTTCAGTTAACACTAAGATGAGTAGTGGGTGGTGTGGTGTGGTTCTCTCTCTCTCTCTCTCTCTCTGTCTCTCAGCAGGGCAGCTGTGTGTGTGTGTGTGTGTGTGTGTGTGTGTGTGTGTGTGTGTGTGTGTGTGTGTGTGGTGTGTGTGTGTGTGTGTGTGTGTGTGTGTGTGTGTGTGTGTGTGTGTGTGTGTGTGTGTGGTGTGTGTGTGATGGTGTCGTGGGCTAGCTGAGGATGTCGGGCTGCAGGCGGACCCTCTGCAGGACGTCCTCGGGCATGCACAGAACCGGATTCACCGGCTTTATCTGCTCGTCCCCGAGAAGAGAGAGACCTGCGATTCCAAACAGAGTGTGGAAAGGATCCACCTGCAGAGAAGAGGCATTTAAGACACTTCACATTTAAGAGGAATATAATAAGCAAAAAGGAGCTGCAAACTTACTTATTTAGCCAGGCTATGTATTAAGAATGGTTTATGGACATTTTTTACATCATCCATTTACATAATAACAATCGTAACAATGTTTCTATTCTATTTTAGTATTGTTTTTCCTATTATCACTATTATAATAGCTTTGAAGTCTTTTTGATTACATCTTCAATATGCTCATATGCACCTCTGGGTAGATGCTGAACAGGGTAGAGTAGAGTCTGATCTTATCTAAAACACTCCAGTACTTAAGTCCATTGCCATCCACCTCAAGATCTCTTTATCTCATACCTTTTAACCGGTTCAAAAGATATATAAGGTAGAGGGACAAAGGAAGGGATCATGGATGTGCAGACAGGGTTAGACGAGTTTTTTTTATGCTGTATGATGTCCTTTATGTTTTTCTGTTATGTTTATATGTATTCATGTGGAACCTACTTGCAGCAAGTCACCCTTGAAAAAGAGATCAATTATCTCAATGGGATTCACCTGCATAAATAAAGGTTTGAAATGAAATGAAACAGCAGACAGGATTTGGGGAAAACACAGGTCTTCCTCTTTCCATCACAGCATGCAGGAGGAGTTACTCATGTGTGACGGCTCACCATGTCTCCCGGTCTGTCGGCAAAGCCTCCGGTCTCCTCGTCCTGACAGGCCAGAATAAACGAGCGCAGCTTGGCCTTGTCGATCCAGTGGATCCTACCAATGATTTTCAGAGACGCTAAAACCCACCACGAGTAGCACACATCCGGAAGCTGAATGCCACAAAGAAAACCAGAGCTCTGTCAATACTGTACGAGCAAGTTAATAAGATCCCAGCTTCCTTATGTTTTTGATATAAACAAATGTACATATCTTATTTTACAAATTAACAGAATTACTTTTGCTAATTTAAATGAGTAGATATGTTGCACTTGGAGCAGTCAGCAGGAACAAGGAGAAATATATGGGATTGCAGGGGCATGCAACACCGAACAGAGACTTTGGCTGTGAAAGCCCAAACCTGGTGGTCAATATGCTGCCGTCTGAGCTTTTCAAAGTTTCCCCACCTAATGAGGAGATGCCTTGTCTGTGAGATCAATTCAATACTTCATGTGATTCATCATCAAATGTTTTGCTAATATTTGGCAAACAGTGAACACTCTCCGCTCAGCAGTCCACTCTCATCTGAGCACATACACACACATTCACAGAGGAAGGGGGGCGGAGTGGGGGAGACAGTCATTTTTTTCCCCTCATGCTGGCATTGTTTCAAAGTTAAGGCGTGTAATCATACAATGAACACATATAGCACATTTAAAGCTGTGGAGCTAAATTGTTTTGTTAGACTCAGCCATATAAGTATATCATAATGGCAGCCAGGAAATCTGTGTTAAACTCTTCCAGTGTGAATAAACTTTTGTCCTGTGGAACTCACAACTAATCAAAAATAATTTCCAGATAGAGAAGAAATAAGAATAGGAGCAGCAGAACTACTTCAGTAATCATTCTGTCCTGATTTAGTTAAGGTTAAACAATGACAAGAAGCCCCTTGATTTCCCCGCACATCCTCTGGAGAGCACTAACCTTCTCCGGGCGTCCGTTCAGGCCTCCGGACGGCAGCTGCCTCTCGCAGAGCCACCAGCCCAGCAGGTCAGCGTTCACCTGGTGCAGCTGGCCGGTGAGCGACAGGAAGCCGGCGCAGCAGTAGATCTGACGGACAGCAGGGAAGAGACCACAGGGAGTACAGGTGAGAAGAAGTTTAACACATGTCACAGCTGAAGAGGGGTGTGAATGTAACAGCGTCCGACTCCAGAGGACATTTCAGCTGTCAGTGTGAGGGATTGACAGTCTCTCCGTTGTGATTTAATCTTCCCACAAGACCAGCCCACAGCCTCACAAATAAATAACATTTATTTAGAAACTGGCAGCTCAACACCTGTACGAGGCAAGGATTTGCTTACATTTCCCCATAGTTTTCCTATTCTATTCATAAAAGATGTACATTTGAACAGGGACGCGGGGAGGGGGGGTGCCATCTGTTGGCGGAGAGTTGTAACTGCAACGCCAAAAAGTTCACTAAACAAATCAATACAAAAGTTTTATTTTGAGCTACTATTTTAGAGTTGGCATTTTAGTGTAAGCAGTCTATAAAAAGCTTCACTATAAGAGAAAGTGATAATGCTTCTTCTGTTGCTCTGCTATAGAAAAGAAGCTCGTCAGTGCAGACAAGATCAGGGATGGGAGTTTTGTGAAAGGAGGATTTAAGAACTGGCGAAAGGCAGGGGAAACATTTAGGGAGCATGAGAAGTCCCATCAACACACAGGCCGTCAACAAACTGGCAGCATTAAAACGAACACACTCTCACAAGCTGTTGCTAAAGACCAAATGACTGCATTTAATATGACGTTATTATACAGGGCCGCCCCCCCCCCCAACTCTGACTGACTTCCCGCGTCCCTGCATTGAAGTTATATCTTTTGAATTTAAGTATATTAGAGGTAAGGTCATTATGGATTATGAAGTAGGTTTTTATTGAGATTTGAATTTTTAGATATGATTTGTCTTGAAAAGAAAAAGCCCCCTGGTGCATCATCTTCAGTTCAGCTGATGAACTGTTTAATAAAGTGGAAGCTAGTCTCTCATACAGTGTCTTCTAATGGTTCGTTTTTACATCATCCAGCAAATCTGTTGGTTTGACCTGTGACTGTGTTTTCCTAACCCTACAACAGATGTCAAGGATCATTGTAAAACGACATCAGATAAACACATCAAATGTTGAACACATTTCTGCAGTTAGAACCTTCTTCAGGGTTAAACTCTGGATGTGCTGCTTTTGTTCTAAAAGAGATGAAAGTGAAACTCAAATAGCGATTGTCTTGCATTAAAGGTGAACGTGAGTGGACTCACCTGACCAGCGTGAGACTCTGAACCCGGTCTGCAGCCAAAACCCCCGTCAAAGTTCATACAGGACAGGATGAACTCCACAGCTTTGTCAACATTTATTTTGTCCATCTTGCCCTTAGAAGGAAGAGAGGACAGAGTCATCTTCAGATTAGAAAGAGTTACACTGTTGAGACAAGACACAAACTGTACATGATATACGTACCAGTAAAGCAAGTGTCGCAACAGCACAGAAGGAAAATCTGGTGTCTATTTCTCCTGTAACGCAAACATGGTATTTCATATTATATTTATTATTATTATTATTATATGTTTAACTGGAATTTACGCTGCAAGCACAACATGACGACACGCGTTTGAATTGTACCGGGGCTGAAACTAACCATTATTTTTATTATCAATGATCAATTGGTCTAAGAAATGTCAGAAAATGCAAAAAGAAATGCATCCCAGTTCGTCAAAGTTCAAGGGGACGACTGTAATGTCTTTCTTGTCAGACCAAGTCCAAATGATATTCAGTTCAATGTTATATAAAACCAGTGGCGAACCGTGTCTATCACAACTGGACCTTCTGTAGACACACACACACCCCCCGCCGCCGTGCCCCCCCCCCCGTCGTTATAATGTCCTTCTTTTCACTGAATTGTCGTCTTGAAAAGGGTACTCACAACAATTCCGCAACAACTTCCTCTTCACCTGTTGCACTTGTCATTTCAACGTTAAAAACAATAAAACGGCATGAATTGCTTCGTCGCATTCATCTAGATCCTCTGCCTCGAGCCAGTTAACTAGCGGGCCTTCTAGAATACCCTGGAACCGAGGGGAACTCTGAAAGAACACGCCCATTGGCTACAAATCAATATATGATTGGTTGATCAAACTGTCAGTCCAAACGTACGCTCTCATTCAGTGCAACGGCCAGGGCATTCTATCAAGGATGTAGAATACCTGGTTGAAGGATATTCTACCCAGAGACCCAGAACAAGATCTGATTGGTTGCTTTCTTTTCTAACACAAAACCACTGAAATGCGTAGTGCATGGTCCGAGAAGGACAAACAAATCAACGTAACACTGTAATATTACAGATCAACAACACAGATACCATTCTCATTTATTCATTTTATTACATTTTTTTATATAATTAAATCGATTTTTTGTTTTTATCTGAGTGTTCCAGATGTGAATACCTTGAAGGCCCTGACGGTTCGCCACTGATTAAAACAGGAAATATCATAATAAAGCAGCTAAAAACTGCATTTTCTGGAATTCTTGCATGAAAAAACGACTTAAACATTGTATTATTATTTTTAAATAGTGGGTGTTTGTTTCACTAATCTGTTGTTAGACTAATTGTTACAGACTCTAATTTGTAAATGTTTGTTGTTTATACAAGTTATTGGATGAAATGCCTATTATTCGATCCCCTTTACTGAAATAATTGTCTGCTTTTATTTCTTATTTTTCATTGGAGGAGCAAATGTTTCTTGAGACGTTAATCAGAGTAAGTCTGGCTCACCCCATTTGTCTCCTGCAAATGATCCGTCTTCCTGCTGCAGCCCTTTGATGTACTCCACCACTTTGTCCACATCGAGAGCATCCACACTGTCGTACAAGCACAGGATCTGAAGGAGTACAACAGTAAATAGAGTGAAAGGCTGTGGGCTGCAGGCAGGGCACTTGCACCTGTAGCCCACACACACATTGAACCGTTTTGCTGGGAGGTTAATACTCATAACATTTGAATCAAAAGGATCCTTCAGAAGAAAACATCTTTTAAAAACTCAGATACTGAGGCTGCTCGAGAGAGAGAAAGATAAATAAAATCTATAAGAAACAAAGTTATTGCATAGTTCTGTGTGTCCTCCAGGAACAAAATCCATTAAAAACGTACTTAAAATGTCTGCTTGCATCAACTTTGAATCAAAGCCAAGTATACTATTTTTTTTCGTTTGTTGGCGACATTTCCAACTTCTCTCATCCACAGAAGTTGATGAGAAAAACAAGCTAGCAATCTGTCACATTTCCTGTTGGCTGTCTGAGGAGTCACCTGCACGGCGCTGAGGGTGTAGAGCAGGTGGGGGTCGTGTCCGATGCTGGCGCTGAGGCCTCCACACTCGTGCTGACAGGATTTGATGAAGTCTACGATCTCCGGCCGGTTCATCCGGGGCAGCTGCGCCATCAGGTCCATCACCGTCAGCCCCCAGTAGATGCCGCTCATCCGCAGGTACTCTGACAGTGTGTACTCCTGGATAAACACAAACAAACAGGAAAGATAAACAGTGCAGCAGGAAGGAGTCAGCTTTATTGCACTTATGGGTCCCTCATCTCAAAATCTATGGGATTTTTTAAATGGGTTTTTGGTTAAATCCCTGGTCTGTGGTAAAGACAATCTTAGGAGATTTCAAATGGTTTTTTTCCAGAATGAATGTTCCTTGGTTCCAAGACTAGCCTTAGCATTATTCTCTTTACTTAACAATGTTGGAAGAGGTTGGTAAGGCCATTCACAGAGCAAGCAAGGAAGTTGAAGTGAGAGTTTCGAATGCAGTTATTACAGTCAAAATATGTTCAGCCACTTTGGAAATATAAACGCCCAAAGGAAAAAAAATGGTGGGTCAAAACCGATGCCGAGTAAAGTCATATTATGTAGACGAATGAGTGAATATGACAAGAAGAATTGTTGACATTCTGTGGTATATCTGCACATGTCATGGTGTATGTTTCAAAGAGTAGATCGGTTTCAGCTGAAGGTGGGTGATTTCTACTTATTGACCATGAAAAACATATATTGAATATTTAACAATGGCCAAAAAAGCCTTGCTTAAAACATCAATTCCTCTAAAAAGTGTCCTTCATGTGTCATATAAAGATAAAATACACTTTGGGAACATCTTACTCTGGGAACTAAAAGATACACTCATAAAAAAACATAAATGAATCCTATGAAAGTGCCTTTTACTCACATAGTCATCCTTTTTGGAGCCGTAGGCAGCGATATAGTCTGCATGTTTGTCCAGCAGCAAAGAGCTGGGGGCGTCAGGCTTAATGATGACATCTTTCACTTGGGTACCCTGACATTGAACACATCACCACAATACTTATCAGAATCAAGTGTTTTACACGTTTACATAAAACAAGGAATTAGCTTTGGTGTATGGTGGCGCAAACATAAACAAAGAAAATATACAAATATAACCTAAAAAGCTCAAAAGAAACTTAAGACAATGAATATATGACATACTGTATTATATATTTTAAAACATGGGACATTTTCTAAATGGACCTTGTTTCAATGGATATACAACCACACCCTGCGTGTCAAGCCTGAAAATGACTAATATTATGTAGCAACATTTGTGAAAATGAAGATAGTAAAGCAGTTGTTTTGGTATCATTTAGCTACATGCTAACTCTAATGCTAACCACTTTACTTAAGTTAGCTGTTTTCACAGGTTAGCGGTCAATGTAACGCTAAAGCTGAACATAATGGGAGATAAGTGGACATGTTCATGTATTTCGGCTGTATTGTATATAAAAATAAGCTGAGTAACGATGACATTTACAACATGATAACCAGTTACCATTCTGGAGATGTTCGCATGATCAGGCTACTTCTTCTTCTTCTGTTTTCTTTTTGGTGGCTGTCAAACTGGTTAAGATGCGCACCTTCCGCCACCTAGTGGGGACACGGGATATGCAGGAGAGAAAATCAACTTGATGCTTTAGAATCAGATATAACAATACAAAATCCCTTTTCGTTTCATGTACAATGGTGTTACATGAGTGGATATTATACATTGCACATGGTGGTGTTAACTTGCAGTCTGTATTGTGTGGAGGTCAGTGGTGGAAAGTAACTAAGTAAATTTACTCAAGTATTTTACATTTACATTTACATGTGTTGCACTGATTAAGAAAGATATCATCTTAAATTAAAGGGAGCCTCATTCAACATTATCTACCCATCCGGTGAAAGCTCTCTGTCAAAAAATCTATCTAACTAAATAAATGTGTGTTGAAATAAATGCTTACATTTCACGAAAACATTAGGTTAAAATACTAGAAATATATATTTGCGTACTAAACATCATGACTTAATTTGTTTGGCTACTTTGTTCATTGCTGATGTGATGATCTACGGACAAAAGTTGAATCTTCGCTGATTAAATTGAGGGAAGGGAAGAAAATGTAATTTATCGGATGAGAATATCATACAGGTCTCAATCATACATTAAGAATAATAGGAAAGCATCCAACCGGAAAATGTACACTGTAGCCAGCCAGAAACTGTCGAAACCAGTTTACTAACTGCATTGCAGGAAATATATTACTCAGAGGAATGTGCTTTTCCAGACATTGAAGAGAAGCAAAATGCCATGACTTTTCGCTATCAGGGCTGTTAGGGAAAACATCAGGCAATATATATTGTGAGATTATTACATTTCTAAAAGAAATTGATACATTTAAAATAATCTAGAGTTTAAATTATTGTTCTTTTGTTTATTATTTTCTGCATAGTATCTTGTCCACACTCCAGTCCAGTTGGTGGCGGTAATGCATAACCCTAACCCTACAAGTTGAAGAAGAATGTAGCGATCCTGATAGGCTACTCAGGGTGTTACGTAGGCATCGGTCTAGTTGTGACGTAGACAGTGCTATATATTGTGGTTGGTTTAGGAAATAAGTAGTGTGGCGGTAGAACCCACGAAGTGTATTTGGCCTGTTATCATCTGTCTTCAAATACTATTTATTAAAGCCTAATAACTACAAGCCTGTCTCCGACTCATCTTGGGAACGCTACAAGAAGAAGAACATAAAACCACATTCATCCCATTTCATAATGAAGTCGTTTGTCATAGTTCTCTTTGTCGTTTATCGACTTTATTTATGTGAATCACAAGGTAAGAACATTATTTTTTTGTCTTCTCTTGTTGATCAACTTTTTTTGTTTCACAGTCAAAGTTGTTGTACTGTAGCACTACTTAAGTGGATAGGGTAATTTGTTTTTAACTTAAAGATATCAGCAAGACATTTCTACAGTTAATCACTTGTAAGACAATTGTTTTTTGTATTACACGTTTTCTGAAATATGTTTAAATTTAAATAAATCTGAACATTGGATAAAGTCAGGTTACAAATTATTGTTTGATTTTGTAGTCATTTTGTAGTAATTTTGTAGTCATATTAGCGTTTGCGCCTCGACGCACTCCGTGAATGTATTTCATGTTCGGGGTCATTTGTTTTTTGTATAACATTGCTTCGTGCAAGTGACAATTGTTGTCGTCTTCTCTGTGAACGTTTATTTCGCTGTTCTTTTGCCATTTTGAGATTGAAAGTTGCTACGGAAAGCTAAACTAGTGCTTTAGCACACCACGTGACGCATCTGAACGAATCACGTTGTCAGAAATTGACACCAGCCAATGCGATTTCGTTTGTTGGCTCTGTCACGATTGGTTGCTGATACAACGGAAATGACCATATTTGGATCCGATGAGATAGTGCAGGAGAGATGGAGTTTTTCGGATCAGATGTTTGTTTTCATGCAAACAGCGGTCGCGGGTACTTTATGTTACGTTAGAAAGCTAACTTTTGGTGAATTTAGGAGACATTTCAAGAAGCATATAGAACAAACAATGGATGTATTGTATGAACATTTATCCATGCTGAAAGTAGATTTAGATGTTTTAGGAGTTAGATAGAGATTATTATCTAATATATGCATCCAATGAAGCATTGCATGAAGTCTGTTGATGATCAGAGGCTGTTGTTGGGGCTGCAAAAACGTGTTTTTATATAGAGAAGGTTAGCTGTCATTATTAGGCTGTTATGTACTGTTGGAGTGTAAGTAAGCCTATTGTTTTTGTATATTTGTGAAGTTAGGTGGTCCGTGAGTGTATTTTATTGGTTAAGTGGTCCTTGGTATGAAAAAGTTTGAGAAACACTGCGCTAGTGGATTATCAACGGGTGGAGCCTCGCTGCGGGGAAATTATACAGATGGCCAGTCCGCCATGTCTATGCACACGTTATTATTAATACAAATAAAGTAACAATTTTTTAAAATTTTTGTAATCATCTCGCGACCCCCCACTTTGGGAACCCCTGTTCTAGAGAGCAGTGGTTCCCAACTTTTTTTTTACCAAGGCACCCCTGAAAATATTTATCGACCCCAAGGCACACAACCTTTTTGTAGATTTAAAAACCACTTCAGATAATTACTTTGATTATTCATAAAATGAAGGTATTTATAATTACATATAGTAGGAATAGAGAAATATTCAGTTTTGAACCAATAAACATACAGTATATTGCAGCTACGTGCGGTGAGGTTCATGGCTGGTGAGGCACTGACTCTTTCAGAGTCAGATTTACAAATATTATATTTTGACCTTAATCGAAATGTTTGGTTATTTTCAAAAGTTTTTTTAGTCTGATGCTTCGATTCATTTTAAACAGACCGTTCAACAAAAGGATACCCAAAATCTAAATATTGGATTGTTCTTTCTTAGTAAGATCCCATGTTCATTACAATTGGGGTCTTACCTTGACTTGAAGATGAAGTCCATGCTATCCTTCTGGACAACAATCTCTATTACTTTTTTGTAAAAGTCCTCCTTATCTTCCTCTAGTTTCAAAAGTCTAGCTTGTTGTTTGCGTCTACGGTCTCTGCGTAGAATAACAGTAGCAACAAGAACCTGTGGGCTCACGTGCGCCCCCTTCAGTGCGGCAGAGGTTATGGCTGCCTCCCCTGGTGCTTTTTTCATTGTCGTTGTATGATGAGACCAGCGAGCCTAAATATCATATATATGTGAAATAAGTTATTTAGAGACTATGGATGGCGAGGATAAATGTAATACAGGGATCTACAAACATTACATTGGTGACCTACAGTGAGATGGTGCAGGCATGCGCTTAGGGCCCGCTTTCCAGACAGTTTCTGTGAGGTGACGCATTCTGAGGTGAGGCAGAGCTCATCTGTGCCTCACCTCACCCCACGGTAACTGGCTTGAGCGTGCTCAAAAAATAAGTGCCCGCGCTAAATTAGTGCCCGCGCTCCAGCCAGTTACTGTGGGCTTACGAGAGGCAGAGCTCGTCCCTGCCTCACTCCTCATCGCTACCCGTAGTTGTAGCGGAGATCGGCCAATTTGCTGATTTTGACTATAAAAAGCGATTGGAATCATACAGAAATCACATTTACAACACAGATCAGTGGAGACATTTTATTATTATTTAGTTTTTCTTTAGTTTAGGCTCTGCCTCCCCTGACTGCACGTCGCTGGTATATTGTGTGATATTTACTGTATGATGTGTCTACTGTTTTACAGGGATCAGTGCTGGGACTGTGTTTGTGCTGAAGGGAGAGGATTTGCATCTGAATGTCACCAAAGCTGTTGTTCTTGGGAAATTAGATTTTTTTTCCTGGCAATATAATGAAAGTAACATAGTGAGATTCAATTCTACGGACAAAAAAGTCTATGATAATCACACTGGAAGGCTCGAGTTTCCTGGGAACAATTACTCTGTGATCTTGAAGAATCTCCAAGAGGCAGACAGTGGAGAATATACTGCTGTAGTGACAAAGCTTTCAGGAGGCGAAACAGAAGCAGCTAAATACAAGATCAAAGTTCAAGGTAGGTTTGTTAACCTCTCAAACACTGATAGAGTTTCCGTGGTCTTGTTTCTAAAACTCTCCACCTGCTTCTTCCCTCCTCAGATCGAGCGTCTCTCCCTCTCCTCACAGTGAGCTCTGTCTCCAGAAACTCTTCCTCCTGTAGCTTCACTGTGACCTGCAGCTCACAGGACTCTCACATCAACAGCACTTTCACATGTGACAACCAAACCTGCAGTCAGGAGGGAGGAGAGCGGTCAGAGGGGATCCCTGATACTTTTCTCCAGGTCCACCAATCAAGAGGATCGATCATATGTAACCATAGCAACCATGTCAGCTGGACCAACACAACCAAAATAATCAAAGATGTCTGCTACCAGCATGTTGGTAAGACTGAAAGAGAAACTACTTCCCGATAATAACACACAGTTTGGAGTTACGTTTAGAGCATTCAGTATAATCATTTGTTAAAACAAGAACCAGGTGGTGCTTACATTTGCTTCATCAGTGACCTTAAGAAGGATGGTAGTTCCACATTTAACTGAATAACTGTTTGGGTTAACATATTAGGGTTAAAGCAAACAAATCGAATGATTTCTTACAACAGATTAGGTCGGCAAGAAGGCTATTTTTGTGTAATTAAATCTAACAGTCTGGCAGGATGTGATGCAGTAACACACTTGACTAAGTTTATGAATTTATCCAAGCATTATAATCAGGGCTGCACATAACTGGTGCGCATGCACACCCCCCGCCAAAAAAGACCACCGGATCATTTGAAAAAAGGTGCACCAAGAGAGAGAGAGAGAGAGAGAAAATAGAGAGAAGAGAGAGATAGAAAAGAGAGAAGAGAGATATTTGCGAGTTGGATAAGAACTGGTAAGATAGCAGGGTTTCCCACACATAGACTTTACGTGGGCGGGCCGCTCAGGTATATTAACGGCCGCCAAAGTATAATTTGCGAGCTATTTAGGTTTAATTGTTTTAATCCGTCCACGAGCATGACTGCATCTACGATCCCTCGCTCTACCCCTCGCTATCGCGTGAAGGGTCTGCTTTATGCACTCCGCACAGTAATAACCCTGCTGCGTGCTCACTAGCGCACCTCCCCCCCCCCCCCCCCTTTTTTCACCATCCTCCCGGAACCGTCCCGAAATACAATCTAAGCCGTCCCGAAATTAATGTGAACCGTCCCGAATTTAAAATATTAGTTTTTCTACATTATCATTAGTTAAAATCATTCAAAGTGACCTTTAACATAAATAAAACATCATACAAATCTAGATGATAATTCATCAACCTTTTTATTTGAGGAAATCAGTCAATCACAAACAAAGGCCAAATATATATTTTTTAAAACACACAAACGAGAAAGTTACTCTAATATTGAAACCAATCAAGTCCCATCCAATTAACAACAAAATCCAACTCTCTGTCCTGAAGACAGAACCAGAGTAACCACTAACCAGGATGATAGTCTGTAACACAGTCAGGAGACCTTTACAAACTGCCCCGCCCATAACATACACATAACGGAGCTTTCGAACCAGACTACATTCATGCAAACAGCGGTCGCGGTACTTTATGTTAACGTTAGAAAGCTAACTTTTGGTGAATTTAGGAGAAATTTCAAGAAGCATAATATACAGGGTTCTTACACCTTTTCCAAAGTCAAATTCAAGTACTTTTCAAGCATTTTCAAGGTGCATTTTCCAGCTTTTCAAGCATCTAGTGCTGGGACTGTGTTTGTGCTGAAGGGAGAGGATTTGCATCTGAATGTCACCAAAGCTGTTGTTCTTGAGGATTTCGATTTTTTTTCCTGGAAATGTAATGAAAGTAGCATAGTGAGATTCAATTCTACGGACAAAAAAGTCTATGCTAATTACACTGGAAGGCTTGAGTTTCCTGGGAACAATTACTCTGTGATCTTGAAGAATCTCCAAGAGGCAGACAGTGGAGAATATACTGCTGTAGTGACAAAGCTTTCAGGAGGCGAAACAGAAGCAACTTTGAAGATCAAAGTTCAAGGTATATTCTGATATTCTGTACAAACTGTGAAGTCCACTGAGACAAATGTAACATTTGTGATATTGGGCTGTATAAATAAACATTGATTGATTGAAGGTAGGTTTGTTAACCTCTCAAACACTGATAGTGTTTCTGTGGTCTTGTTTCTAAAACTCTTCACCTGCTTCTTCCCTCCTCAGATCGAGCGTCTCTCCCTCTCCTCACAGTGAGCTCTGTCTCTGATAGCTCTTCCTCCTGTAGCTTCACTGTGACCTGCAGCTCACAGGACTCTCACATCAACAGCACTTTCACATGTGACAACCAAACCTGCAGTCAGGAGGGAGGAGAGCGGTCAGAGGGGATCCCTGATACTTTTCTCCAGGTCCACCAATTAAGTGGATCGATCATATGTAACCATAGCAACCATGTCAGCTGGACCAACACAACCAAAATAATCAAAGATGTCTGCTACCAGCATGTTGGTAAGACTGAAGGAGAAACTACTTCCTGATAATAACACACAGTTTGGAGTTACGTTTAGAGCATTCAGTATAATCATTTGTTAAAACAAGAACCAGGTGGTGCTTACATTTGCTTCATCAGTGACCTTAAGAAGGATGGTAGTTCCACATTTAACTGAATAACTGTTTGGGTTAACATATTAGGGTTAAAGCAAACAAATCGAATGATTTCTTACGACAGATCAGGTCGGCAAGAAGGCTATTTTTGTTTGCTAACAGTCTGGCAGGATGTGATGCAGTAACACACTTGACTAAGTTTATGAATTTAAGCAAGCATTATAATGTGGCTTATGTTTTTATTTACAGATCCTCAAGCAACAACCATTCTTCTCATCACTTTGGGAGTATGCTTTGCAATTCTCGCCATCATTGGTGTACTTTGGTATCTTCTAAAGAGAAGAACAAGTAAGTCTAAGTTTGCATTTGAACAAAAAACAGTATATATATTTTTTTATGTCAAGTTCATCATCTTCCAGATACAAATCTCCATTGTCTAATTGAGCAATCACATACAAAATATCTAGAACCTCTCATACAGAAACATATTTTCTATAATATTCTACACACAGAGGCTTTAAAGTGTTCAGCTGTTTGAAAATGATAATTAGGACACAACCAATATCTGGACTCAATGCAGATGCAGCTCAAGTAATGTAAATGTTATGAAGGTAATGAGCTTTCAAGGTGAAGCTCTCAAAATGAAATGTAAATTAACGCAAATCAACATATATATTTTTTTATGACTGACCTGCAGGCAAAGGAGCGAGTATCGAAAATCCAGTTAATGATTCTGCTCAGAGAGAGGTAAGAGACAAGGTATTTTCTACTTTTCACGAAAAAATGTGACTGAATTTTTTATTTTTAACAATTTAAACAGAGTTGGACTGAATATGAGGAACAAGCTAAATCTATAACTGGAGCCTCAGACAGTTATATTGCCTACTATGCACACTAATCACTATGCACACAGTATATCTGCTATTTACTGTATATTATCCCTGACTCCTTTCTACACCATCTTCTTCCTGGTTCCAGGTCCTGCTACTCACATTGCCGGTTCAACAAGACCTCCAACCCATACGACCAAATAATACGACCGATAATCCCGTTTTAAATGTATCGACCTCTAGTGCTCCCGTTGACTGCAAACGCTCCGGTGGGTAGTACATTCTCAAATAACCCTCTGGAAAATCCTAAATTGTAGGATAGTTTGGCCATTAAATGCTTTTTGATTAGATTTCTAGCGAGAAGTGTATATTATGAAGATGATTTGAGGTCTCGCCAGGAGAACATTTATATTGGCGGCAGCGTCCATGTAAAGTTAGCGTCAACCCTCACGGGGTGAAAACAGTATTTCCGGTCTCGAAGTTTTCATAATAAAACCGTATTCCCCTGACTGTCAAATGATTTTACAGTTATATCTGTAGTACTCATCCACTAAAAACATCAGTGACATTGATTGGTTTAAATGGTGTACAATGAGGTTTTGATAAAACATCGAACTACCCATAATCTTCAGCTGTCGTTGAAGCTCGGTGATGTTTTAGCCGCAATGCACGTTGGGATATGGTGTTTATACGATATGAAATCCGAAAACATTTAAAAGAAAATAATACTTTATTCCACGTGTGCTTGCTTTTCTCTTTGGAAGTCATCACATAACGGCATTTTGATACACGGTTCGGCTGCATTCAATATTACACATCTGCTGTAGTTCTTTATTTATAGAGCCCTGATGAGAAGACCTTTGGACAAACTGGAAGAAATGCCGCCGAAACTGAATCCGTGACGTGGATCATAAATATATCAGCCATTAAACAACATCTTCCATTTATTTTCACACAATACGTCTCCTTGCAGTATCAACACTAATTCGGCTGACTTTTATATTTGATCCAATTGGTAGATAGGCTGTATTTACACCATAACGGTGCAGAGCTGATAGAAAGGGACTTGTAGTTTTTAAAGATATTACTGATTTTCTTTGAATATAAGAATGTCATTAAAAGTGCCAATGTGAAACGCCACTATGAGACAAAACACAAAGTGTTTGACCAAACATTCCCACTCAAGTCACAACTGAGGTCACAACAAATAAGCAGTCTCAGTCAGAGCCCAATATGATCAGTCCACCAGGATCAAAATGTAAACTAAATGTCATTCCAGGGCAGGCTAACCGAGGCTAACCAATGAGCACCTGCATGTGTATGAGAATGGCCCTGACACCATTTCAGCCCAGAGTTAAACTCCAGGCAGGACAAGCTCCAGCTCAATTCTCGCACTGACCAGAACAAAGCGAGTGAGGGTCTGCAATATAAGAGGGAAAGAAAGAGAAACTTTAAAACTGTTCAATTGTTATTATGATGTTTAAAGACTGATATTGTTCTATAATCGTCTGAAACTGTTAAGTCATGATGTGAAACGGTTAACAAAGAAAAAGGGAAACTTTATTTTATTTATCTAAAATTAAGCACTTTTAAGATGCACATGTTTTCAAAAGCCATTTTATTTATTTTCTCTATTTTATTTTTATATGCAGCCAGAGAGGAACATTACACATATCCACAGTATTTACTGTATATCTGTAGAGTTCAATGCTAATTGACAATAAATATTGTTGTTTTTTAATTGTACTTTCGTTATTTGATTGGCAGTCAGCTGTTGATTACATGCAGACGTTAAGCTGCAGGCTACTTCAATATATATCACACTAATTCATAAAGCAAGTTAGACATGTTGATGTTCCGGACCTTTGCATGGGGACATTTTCTCTAACTGGACCTCGTTGAATTTTAGTTGCTGCTGTACATCATTGTTGCCTGTAGTTTAAAGAAGTCATGAATTGAATGGAAAATACTCCACCATTTTGTGTCGAAAGAAGAAAAGTGTAACCAAATGACCGCCATTGAAAGCTGTGCCTTCCAGCTGTTAATATATAATTTGCCAAGGAGTCAACATTTAATTAAAAGAAGAATTTGCACATTAATGATTTGTAAAGTTAATGATTTTTCTGAAGTCCACTACTTGGTAAAGGTAGCCGTGCTTAGATTTGTATTTAGGATACTTTCACTCTTCTTTTTTTGAAAGAAATATACTCTTAAATGCAGCAGGTGAATACCTGATTTATAAAACAATGGTTTATTCTTTTATGCAGTCGCCAATGCAGTTGCACCAACATTGATTTTGTTAAGTGAGTACCTGCAGGATTCTTTCTTTTTGAGGTTGTTTCTTCATGGTCTCTGAGGCACTTACTGTGAGACGCTTCTTGATCAAAATGATCAGATAAATAAATGTGAGTATGTCATATAATGTTATGAGTGTACAGTATTTCATGTATTAAAATAAAACAGGATTTTTGAACTATATTATTCTTTAGGCCTAGCCTTTTTTTTATTTGGTGTCTTTTTTCCCTCTTTAACAAATTAGTTTACAGGAGATTTGTCACACATACTGTAAAAGCTCTTAATTCATATACTGCAGTGAACTAACAAAAGCATATTCTGTTTATTGTAAAAGGGGCATATTTGAATAAAATAATCTCTTAGCACACACAGGACACATTTTAGATAAAAAACCCTATTTTTGTTTTCTTTTTTCTAAGGTTACATTTTACACTCAGTAAACGCCTTCTTGTATTGATGTGTCCCAGAAGTAATGGGAAGTAATCAGGTTACCTTATTTGAATAATCAGATTCTTGCATTAGGTTACTGACAATTAGGTAATTAGTTTAGTTTATTTATTTTTTTGGAGCGTGTAAAACCAAAGAAAATACAAACAATAGTCATTGTAATGGAATTGTCCCAATTAAGCTACGTGGAACAAAAAGATAGCCACACATGATCTTTAGTCTATTCTTTAGTAGAATCCAAAAAAAATCACAAACATACAGTTGCAAGAAAAAGTGAACCCTTTGGAATGACCTGGATTTCTGCATAAGTTGGTCATAAAATGTGTTCTGATCTTCATCTAAGTCACAACAATAGACAAACACAGTCTGCTTAAACTAATACCACACAAACAATTATATGTTTTTATTGAACACACCATGTAAACATTCACAGTGCAGGGTGGAACAAGTATGTGAACCTAGACTAAAGACTTCTTCAAGAGCTAATTGGAGTCAGGAGTCAGCCAACCTGGAGTCCAATCAATGAGACGAGTTTGGAGTTGTGGGTTAAAGCTGCCCTGCCCTATAAAAAAAATACACCAGTTTTGAATTTGCTATTCTTAAGAAGCATTGCCAGATGTGAACCATGCCTTGCACAAAAGAGCTCTCAGAAGACCTACGATTAAGAATGGTTGACTTGCATAAAGCTGGAAAGGGTTACAAAGGTATCTCTAAAAGCCTTGATGTTCATCAGTCCACGGAAAGACAAAGTGTCTATACATGGAGAAAGTTCAGCACTGTTGCTACTCTCCCTAGGAGTGGCCGTCCTGTAAAGATGACTGCAAGAGCACAGCGCAGAATGCTCAATGAGGTGAAGAAGAATCCTAGAGTGTCAGCTAGAGACTTAAAGAAATCTCTGGCACATGCTAACATCTCTGTTGACGAATCTACGATACGTAAAACACTGAACAAGAATGGAGTTCACGGGAGGACACCACGGAGGAAGCCACTGCTGTCCAGAAAAATATATATAAATGTTATTTGTGTTTTTTTGAAAACCTCCCTAATCTGAAGGCAACAAAATGATTTTACCTACAAACAAATTACTTGATATTTGGATTAACAAGAACATTCAGCATTTTCTTGAAAGCTGCCTTCTGTGTTTTCTTTGCAAAGCATCAATGTTTACATCAAGATTAGCCAATATGAATTGTCAGTACACAAATAAGTGAACATATTTGTATCCATGTCTTCTACTTCTAGCCTTGAGCCCGCACACGTTTGTTGTTGATTTCTACATTTCTTGGTGTGTGGCGTATGAAAATTGAGTTGAAAATGTTTTGTTTGGAATTTGCAACCCCTAATCTTCCTACGTACCTCCTGCAATCCCCCCAACTACCCCTAGGGGTCCGCCTACCCCCAGTTGGGAACCAGAACTATGAGTTTATTTGTTCTTGTTGAGCTTCTCCATGAGATGAACCGTGATGACAGCAGACACCATGATGATCAGACCCACAGAGAACACGCACATCTTCACCAGGCACACAGATAACCCCTCTGGATCTGAAACACAACAAACAGAGAGTTTCACATCAGAACCGACACAGAGATCCAGACTGAGATGCACAACTGAGTGGAAGCAGCAACTCAGTGATTACTACTTTATTTGGATAGCAGTTTGAGTCCTAACATGTCAAATACATGCACGACAAAGTGCATTTGAGTATTACAGACTGCCCGTATGTGGTGGTTTTATGGTGATGTATTGTTAACTGTTTTTTTGCTTATTTAAATATTCATGTTTAATTGTTCTGCACTTAATAATAATAAGAGCCAATTTGCACATGTATTCACAAAGAAGTTTCGTTAAACTTAAATTCCAAACTGTGAGTTATCAGGAAGTAGTTTTCTCTTTCAGTCTTACCATCATGCTGGTGGCAGACATCTTTGATTATTAGGGTGTCGTTGGTCCAGCTGACATGGTTGCTATGGTTACATATGATCGATCCACTTAATTGGTGGACCTGGAGAAAAGTATCAGGGATCCCCTCTGACCGCTCTCCTCCCTCCTGACTGCAGGTTTGGTTGTCACAGGTGAAAGTGCTGTTGATGTGAGAGTCCTGTGAGCTGCAGGTCACAGTGAAGCTACAGGAGGAAGAGTTTCTGGAGACAGAGTTATTCACCACTGTGAGGTTTACTGGAGACACTCGATCTGAGGAGGGAAGGAGCAGGGGAAGAGTTTTAGAAACAAGACCACAGAAACTCTATCAGTGTTTGAGAGGTTAACAAACGTACCTTGAACTTTGACGTTATATTTAGCTACATTTTCTGGTTTAACCCTTTCCAACACAGCAGTATAAACTCCACTGTCTGCCTCTTCGAGATTCTTCAATTTCACAGAGTAATTGTTCACAGGAAACTCAATCCTTTCATCGTAGTTAGCAGAGACTCCTTTGTCATTAGAGGTGAATCTCACTATGTTACTATTATTACATTTCCAGGAAATAAAATCTAAATCCTCAAGAACAACAGCTTTGGTGACATTCAGAAGCAAATCCTCTCCCTTCAGCACAAACACAGGAGTCCCAGCACTGATCCCTGTAAAACAGAAGACACATCATACAGTAAATATCACAATATATAGTTTTCAATAGTGAATGTTACTCCAACTTTATTTCTGACATTCTGATCAACAGCTAAATATCATCATCCTATTGTGAATTCATGATAACCCAGTGACCACCATAGTGCAACATTAATGTATGTTCAGCTTTTGTGTCTCTCCTGCTAATTAGTATGATATGTAACTTTTGCCGAAAGTGAACAAACATGAAATACAAATGACGTATAATTTGCCATTACCATTAATACAGCTAGGACTCCTCATACATAAATGTCAGTAACAATTCTAGTGAAACTAACCCTAATGATGCATTGTTCCTATACTTCCCCCCCCCCCTACCATCATCCACACTGCTGTTCACCAACTTTGATCCTTTTCTCCATATACTAAAGTAGCTTTGTGCAAAAACTCTCTAATTATTCCTCATTGATTGTAGAAGAAAAAAAAGCTGCCTTGAACAAAAATGTCAAGTTAATGTTATGTTTAAAAAAGCTCAGAAGATGTCAGTATGCAACTCCATTATACTTGGTTTAAATATACCTTTTTTTTTAATAAAGACATATTTTTTATTAAAAATATTTTCTTCTCTAAACTTCTTATTCAATATTTGTATTCACATGTTTGGCTTCTAATGCTCAGAGTTGATAACCAGGATTTAGTTTTCTGCATGTTCCCACTAAAACAAAGGTTTCTTTTTTGGATAGGAAGATACATTCCTGATGGCAGAAGGTTACAGTTGTTATACTCCACATCAGCTGACTTGACGAAACTCCTCTTGGACCACAGTGATGCCAGGTTTTTAAACTCTTAAAGAGTCAAACTGTTTTCTGTTTTAAGCAGGACACGATTACTGTAATTAGATACGATACGATACGATACGATATACTTTATTGTCCCCGTAAGGAAATTTGTTCTGGGCTCCGTCCAGCAGTTCCGCATACATGTACATAATATACAAACATAGTGGACATTTAAGAGACATACACATATCATCAATCATACACCGTTTGAACAAACACAATACACACAGACGCACATACTGACAATGGCGACCTATTGCACAACCCTCATGGCCAACATTTAAAAAAAAGTACATTTCATTAGATAATGTTAAAACATTGAATTAGACATGTTTTTATCCTACCTTGTGCCTCAGTGCAGACCAGCAGCCCCAGAATCACGAAGATGAACATGACAGTCTCTGTCCGGTTGCCCTGCCTGAAAACACAATGTCACAGGTTACAGTGTGAGTCCTGTTTAGCTCTAACACACATCACCAAGTCTTCTTCCTGTAAAAAACACATAACCTTTTGCCTGAGTGTGGAAATACTAACTGAAGTCAATTACAGGATAACAAGGCACTTTTCATTTCAGTTGGTGTATGTTGCACCAGATGAAGCAAAAGGTGGAAAAGAAAACATTACAATTGTGTCAATACATTACATTAAAAACAATAAAAAGGGTAGTTTGCACTGTTTATTACTCACATTAGTGTATGTGTTGCTTTACTTTAACTCTTCTAGCTGGTGTCCTGCACAAACAATCATAACCACTTCCTTTGTCAGAGCTCTGTGTTTCACACCTCTCGCATTTTCCATGACTGCATACCAAACGTACGATACCTGCGGTAAAATGTAAAAGATATCTTCACACAGCACATATTCTGCACTGGCAAAACAAATAACTAACCATAAAATTAGGAAGGCCAGTCTTATGTTCCTTATACAGGCCAGGGCTTTTTTTATTGTTGTTTTCTCATAAAATACTCTACTATGACTTTTCAGTGACATTCTTTACGACATATTTAACTGTGACTTATTTTATGATTTTATACCATTGCACTTTGTATGGCCTACAACACCAGGACATTGTATGGCAGATGATAACTAGAAAATGCATTTCCTGCAGAAAATGCGTGCAAATGCTGTAAACTGTGAACATTTGTGGCTGAATTTAGCTGAAAATGCAGAAAAAGCTGAATATTTTATTAGTTGAATGGTCAAGTAAGTGTGTTGCTGAACTTAGCGGAGAAATGCAGAAAAGTGAAATGATTTGAATCAAAATTGTTACAGCTCAAATGCATTGCAATGACTTTGTTGAAAACTTGAAATTGAAATGTTAAACTGGAAGAGTAGGAAAAATAGAGCTTCCTTAAGCTTAATATTTAAAAGAAAAGGTTTAAAAAAGGTATAAACAACAACATGTATCGCCTCAATGTCCTGAAATAGCTGAATAATGTAATAGTTGAATGGTTTCTGCAGTTGAGAGTAGGCTGAAGAAGTTACATATCAGATGTAAGTAGTTGTGAATGAATGTGTATTAGGAAGAGAAAATAAAGTAAAAAGGCTTGGGAAAGAAGCAGAATATTTTGACTGCAAACTTTTCGACTAAAACCATACGTCACCAATAATGTATAAAATATTTGGAACATGTTGAAGTCTGTATGAAGTCTCCATCAGACAGAAAAGAATAGGCTGAGACAGTCTGTTAAAGTCCAGTCTGTTTGTCAGTGTTTGTTTCTGTGCCGAGCACCTGATCATAACAAATAATCATAACACCTGTGTGAGCCCAGAGATCAAAGCTTTCAATCTGCCCAGCAACACCATGGCAACCATCTGCAGAACTGAGTCCCATTAAGAATGCATTGAGGATTATATCTGACCATTTTGCCACCTGTTCAAAAACTATGGCTCCTATAAAAAAAATGACCTGAAAGTGAGCATCAGGGAGGGATATGGGTTTTTTGGGTTGTGTGTGTAGAATATGATGATGGGAGCAGTTTGTCTAAAGTTTACTTCTCTCTACTCTGAAGAAAGTTCCGGATAATTTTAACATGGGACGTGGTTGACTTTTTGACAAGTTTTTGTCTCTTCATGCCCTCAAGAGGCATTTTGTTTAATATTTTTTCTTTTTTTTTTTCTTTTTTTCAACGTGGAGAAGTTTTCCTACGTTTTTCATGAAAAATGATGTCCAAGGAGTGTAGGGTTTGGGAATTATGGCAGGTTTAAAACAAAAATGTGGGCGAATTTCAAGCACTCCTGCACTGTTTTGAGATCAAAGCACTCTAGACTTAACGAGCTGCTCCATCCACACTAATGTTAAAATCTGAAGAAGGCCTCTTTACCAAGCTCCAAACTAAGTTAAATATCTAAAAAAATGTAAAAGATATCAAAAATCTGAATAATATTTTAATAGCTGAAGGTCTTGTGATCATTTTAAAGTTGGAATGAAGTCTCTAGCTGAAAGTATGTGGAGGGAGAAGCATTTGGCGCAATGTGTATGAGGTAAAAGAGGATTTGAAGGCTCCTCCCATTGAGTTCCATGTTAAACAAAGAGTTTTAAAAAGCTGAATATTTCAAAAAGTATAAAATATTTTGAAAAAGTTGAAAGTTTCCCATCGATTGCTGAAAAGGCTGAACATTTTGATATTTGAATTGGTTGAAATAAGAAGAAGAAGAAGAAGAAGAAGAAGAAGAAGAAGAAGAAGAAGAAGAAGAAGAAGAAGAAGAAGAAGAAGAAGAAGAAGAAGAAGAAGAAGAAGAAGAAGAAGAAGAAGAAGAAGAAGAAGAAGAAGAAGAAGAAGAATAAGAAGAAGAAGAACTATAGTGTGAATGCTATAGTTCTTCAAATCTCCTCTTATTATAGTTCTTATAATAACAGGACTTTTTGTTATGACAATTAACAGGACCTTTAATGACACACTTTACAATGACATATTATGGCAGACTATACTTTTAATTGTTTTAATTAGATTGAAATGTCCTACTGTCCTATAAAACATTGTACGACTTGTGTCATATTTGGCTTGACTTTTTATTCTGTACTATGACGTTTTTATTGGATACCAAACGTTTACTTTTGTAATGACATTTTTACCATGCTATAAAACTTGAATGACCATATTACATATATATATTGTATATTACATATACAGTACAGTACAAGGACTCTTATGACCTTTTGTGACATTTCCTTGTGATATATTTTACTGTGACTCCTTACATATTTGTCTTTATAGCATATCATACTATGACACTTTTATTATGGCCAAACATACTTTTAAATGACATACTATGTTGTGATGCTATGGCCTATTATGATGAGATGTTTTTGTTATTTTATACTTTACTTTTTTATGACTTATTATGGCATTCTATACTATTCTATTCTATAAGGACACGTTGTAGATATGCTATAGTTTGACTTTTTAATTACGAGATGCTATTTATTGAAAAAAGCATATTCTGTTGTTTGTATAAGGAGCAGATTTTAATAAAAGTATCTCTTAGCACAGGACACATTTTTGATGAACAATATTTATTTATTTTATTTTCTTCTAAGGTTACATTTAACTTGGTAAAAGCCTTATTGTATTTATTTGCATTGCATTGATATTGAGTTGTCCCAAAAGTAATGGAAAGTAATTTGTTTAGGTTATATGAATATCGGATACTTACAGTAGTTACTGATGGTTAGGCCATTAGTAACTGTAATGGAATACATTGTATTTTACCATTTGCATGAACACATAATAGATAACGAACAATATAGGAATAAAACAGCTTTATTAAATGGTGGATGTAGCATAAAACAGATTACTTGATTTAATCATCGGATTAACAAGAACATTCAGCATGTTCTTGAAAGCTGCCTTCTGTGTTTTCCTTGCAAAGCATCAATGTTTACATCAATATTTACTAGCCAAAATGCATTGTCTATATATGTACAGTACATTGTAAGTGTACATATTTATATCCATGTTTGCTGATCCACCAATTGTGGATCCATGAAATATCATCAAATCAGCAGCAGAAATGTACCTCTAAGGCCTTCTGCACAATAGAAATAAAACAGGGACTCACTCGTCAAAAAACCCACTTTCCTTTTTCTATCAAAGAGTGTGAGATACTGTTTATGTAAGATTGGTTGCATGTAGCAGTGGTTCCCGACCTTGAGCTGGTCGACATTCTATACTATTATTATACCGTCACCAGGGGCGGATAGACAAATATTCATGGGGTGGCATGATGGTGGCAGGAGATTTTGAGGGGTGGCATCCCCTGGCAGAATGCTGATTTAATCGCAGTCAAATCAATCAATGTTAACTTGGAAAGCCACAATATTGATGTTTTAACTCAATAACATTAGGATACATTATTGTGGCACAACAGTAAATCCTTAAATATAAATATATAAGGTGGCAGACATAATTTAATGAATTTTAACTGAACAATAACTGAATGAGTTTGTTTCACTCTTAGACCTGTAGGGGTACCAAATCTATGCAGACTGCTGCAATAAATACATTAATTAACTGTCTCATCGATGTTTGTCTGAATTAACATGATAATATTAACAATCATATTATTCCTATCAGCTGTCAATCATTGTTATGATTCACATAAACGTGTATTCACAGGGCCGTGGGAAGTAGGGGTCCTGAGGGTGCTGCAGCACCCCCTGATAGAGGACAGGGAATCTGCACGTCCACAACATTAAATGGACATATAATACAAAAAACAACAACATTGATGGAACAACATTCATAATTAAGTAAAGATAACACCCTTTTCACCCCGGTTAAATTTCCCAGAGAGAGAGAGAGAGAGAGAGAGAGAGAGAGAGAGAGAGAGAGAGAGAGAGAGAGAGAGAGAGAGAGAGAGAGAGAGAGAGAGAGAGAGAGAGAGCGAGCGAGCACCGGTACCGGCGGGGATTGTTGTTAGCTTCTGTTGCGCTAAGGGATAAAATAAGCTGTTTCTACAATAATGAGGAGGGAAAGTTGTCTCCTGTCAGACTGAGAGGCTCAGTGAGGTAAAAGACTCTTAAGTGTTTAGATAGTTCACTTTAGTCTAAGTTATCTCAGTGGGTCTCAAATGTTTTGATCACAATTTATGTAAACAAATATTTCCAAGGCACTCCTTTATAATTATTGGGATAAATAAAAACAGGTTTGAAATCATTCCAATGTATACTATAGGAAAGTAAACCAAAAATATTGTTTAAAACTGGAGAGATTTAAAAATATGCATAAATAAATGTTACGGTAAAATAAGATATAAATGAACAACACAAATTAAATAAGTTACATGTATTTGTTATTGGCTATGGTAGGTTATTGGTTATGTTCACATACTTATTTGATTATTAAAATATAAACCGATCTTTTCCATATGGGTGTTTAGAGTTGTACCCCTTAGATCTAGTCTCTGGTAATTCAGCTCAAAGTGCACCAGATTGAAGCATTTTACTTTAAAATGTTAAAACAAATCTTCCCGGGGGGGGCATACCCCCGGGCCCCCCTAGAGGATGTGATCCCCACAGCACCCCCCAACATGTTCCCACGGCTATGTGTATTCAGCTAAAACATAGACATCGCTACACATCGTCTTATTTGACTCTCTCAGAACTTAAAACTGTTTTTTGGGGGCAGACCCCCACAAAGAAAAAAAATATATACACACATACAAGGTCATCATCTTAACAGTTGTGTATGCTCATCTGTGAGCAGAGCATCAAGTTGGCATGCCTATAACTTGCCCCTTGCCCTTATTCCACCTAGCTTAGCACTTTCTACTTGTGTTGTTATTTTGTTTTACTTGCTTGTAAGCGCTTTGAGCACCAGGAAAA